TTTTCACTGACAAAAAAAAAGAGATATACAAAACTTAAAAATATATTTCAATACCCTAATACTCCCCACACAAATAAGCGACTAATGATTTCATCGTATGTACTACATGGAGTAGGTTAATATGGATATCAATCTAACCTACCAATTGATTATTTAAGTGGTTCAAAATGAGCAAAAATGATTGATTAAAGAACAAGTAAGATCTTTTTTTTTTTTCGAAAAAATAGTTCACAATCCTCTCAAATGTTCAAATTCTATCAGTTTTTGGTTTGTTGGTTCCAGATGTGTGGATTAATGTTGACAGTGATATGTAGTTAGATTAGGGATCACATACAATTTTGGGAGAGAAAATTAAAGTGATATAAGCACCGAGAGAAATTAACAAATGTAAAATCCCATATAAAATTTAAAGATGAATGACATGAAATTAATAGTACTTCTAAAATGATAATAGAAACCCCAAATTAATGTTTAAAGATTAATTATGAAATTTGAGTTTCACGTAAATTGACTTTCTGGTCAAATGAGCGTGTTCTTGGGCCATCATAAAAACATAAATAAGGCCGATAACGAAACAAACAACAAAACTTTACGACAATTTTTTCGTACACGTTTACTTGCATTACATACACAAGTGCTCTCTGAACCGTGCAATAAGGTCACCCATAACACAACTCTCCCACTTGAGCTATCTTAGCTCTAGGCCATGCTATTCCATAATATTGAAAAAATGACAGCATGTGGTAACAACTAGTATTGAAAGTTGGTCGCCTTTGGAGGCGTTTAAGTTTGAGAAGGGTGGTTAGACAAGTTTTTAATTAATGTTATATTATAATAAAATTTTCATTGAATCTAGAAGGTCGAGAAACATTGAGAGAGATAATATAGGGTATATTAGAGGTTTAAAAGTATTTCAGAGTTAAAACACATTTTATGAGAGAATTTGGATAGAAAGAGATTAGACACTATATTAATATTTTACTTATAACTTTTTCTAACGATGTCCGATTGACTTGAAAATTTTACAGTAGAAACTAGATTTACAAGGTTACAAAAATATTTTTCACAAAATTTTGTTAATCGGCTTCTAACTAGATCAAAATTGAGCCATAAGTTAGCAACAAAAAGTTACCACCATTCGAATGGTGCAGTGCCATTAGAACGGTGCTTTGACAATATGAACGCACATCTCCAGTTTGAACGCACATCCCCCGTTCGAACGCATATGCAGGGTTGGGTGAGTTTTCACTATTCGAACAGTGCCTCTGATGATACGAGCGATCGTTCGAACACATGTATGGGTATTGCTGCCTCCGTTCAAACACAAGATAGTCGTTCGAACGCACCTCCCCGATCAATTTCACGCGTTTTCTTTGATTTTAGGGTTCTATAAAACCCAGGGACATCTTTTGGGGACTATTTAACCTTATTTTCATCCTAGTAAACCCTATAGTTGAGAAAAGGTAGAAGAGGAAGAAAGGGGGAGATTTTCACGTTGAAACGAATCAAACACTTTAAAACTACACACAAACAACAGATTCAAGGTAGAAGATTCTTCTTGAGTTATTTTATCGAGACTTATGGTATTATATATGTATGTTTTCAATCTTATTGATTTATATGAAAAATAGTTGTGAGTTCTTGGTTTCTTTCCGATTGAAACATAGTTTTTAACAAAATATATGTTTGTAATCAAGGAATTCTTATTCTTGGTTTCGAAAATCCTAGTTTTTCCTGAACGCCTATTTTATTGTAAAAGACTTATTGATTCTTGATTTTTAAATTCCTAGCTAGGATTGGTTAAATTAGGTTTTCAATTAACTATTTTTTCTTATTCCAAGAAATCATGATTTTTGGCAAAATCCTAGAATTTGGATATCCAAATTATAAAATTTTTCTTGATATGATCTCTTACATATTTTAACACCACTATTCTTGTACCTTCAGAATTGTGAAACTTGTGCTACATGTATTTTGAAGGAAATCGTGATTAGTTGAATATTTGTTTTGATAAAATTGTGGTTTCTCATCTCTGTATGGTTTGAGTATGACGAACTTGAATTGCCTTTGAGACCTGTCGTAGAATGTTAGAAGTTAGTCTATACTAGTGGAAGTGAGATGATTGTCTAACACTTGTAGTAGATTGTTGTTTGTAAGTGCAATTACTATTATTCACATAGGTTTGTGGTTGAGATACGACATTCCTAAAGTGGTTTGTGATTTGGCCATGCGGAGAATGATTGAGATTGAATGATTCTGGTGTGTGAACGCAGTAAAATCATTGTGTAGATTCCTGAAAAGTAACCAACATACATGAGGTACATAACATACATGAGATGCACAACATATATGAAAATGTGGAATGATTCTATTGGGTTATTATTTGATTGTTTTAGTTCTGACATATTTATTCCTGTTATTGATCTACTGTATTCCATACACTTGAGATCATTATAACCGTCATTGTTTTACTTTCAAACAAAACATCTATGCTATTTTTGAAAAGTGACTTTCCTTCTTTTTACTGTTTTTAAAACCTAGTTTGGGTTTGAAAAGAATTTTTAGAGGCTTTTGCTCACTTTCTACAACCATGCATTTACAAATTATGGAATAGAAGAGAATGTTGATGTAAATGAGTAGGTGAACTATAAGGCGGTGGAGAATTAAAATGTGGAACCAGTCTTAGAGGAATATAGTTATTTTATTTTTGTTTAGAGATTGAGAGATTTCGATGAAACAATGTTTCAACTAATTCTATTTATTCTACTTCTAAATACTATTTGAGTTTTGAATTGTAAGTTTGAAGAAGTTTAATGTTTTCCTGTCTTTAAATGGTTGTTATTTAATGAATGAATGAATGGTTTATCATTTAGAAGGTTATTTTCAGTTGCTCTCATGGTTGAATAGTTTGTAGATAGTAATATCTTTTATGGTGAATTTTAAGGCATTACAATATAATGTCGATAGGGTGAATAAATATTTGATTCCATTGTATGTGTAAGTATTATAGTAATTGTATATATTAATATTTTGTTGACACACGTAATAACTTATATTAGTTATAACTAAAAAGTGACGTTTAAAGCCCAGCTACTAAGTTCGAGCGAGTAGTCAGCACAAATTTAAAAATTTTATATGAAAAAAAAACATGTTTAAATTAGGAGAAACAAAAGTTCTATAGAGGTGGACATTAGAGGTCATCCATAGGAAGAGGCAGACAAATTCAACATGTTCCCAAATCTTCGGTCCAAAGTTTCTTCTCATTTCCTGCCGTCACCTCCACCAACAAATAAGAAGTCAAAAAAATAATAAATGATGAGATTTAACCTGATCACGTATGAAGTCAAAGTTGGCCTGTAGATATATAGACCTTTGGGGGGTGAGAACAGGTTTGTACTGGATTGATGATTTAAAAAAATATATATTTTTTTAATTTAAATTTCATTTATTATTAGACTGATTAAGATTTAATGGTTATATCTTACTATTTTCCGTGTTTGGATAATACATAATCATTTTTGTGAGACCCACATAAAAGGGTGATGGAATATGATACCATTGACTGTTTTTATCTCTAACCTATTCAATCCAAAACCATGATTGATTTATAAATTAGTCTTTGATCAATTTGAAATAAATTTTTCTTACATGTAATTTTTAAAATTAGTATATTTTCATATTCTCTAAACGAATATTTATATATTACGAGGACTATTGAGAATTAATTCAAACTTTTATTAATTAGTTATTTTATTATTAGTTGTTAATTATTCTTAGTTCAAATAAAATATTGCTTTGTTATTGTTAGTTTATTATTTAAATTAATTGTCTTATTGTAGAAGATGTCTTGGTCTTCTTGAGGTATACCGGCGGAGCTTTGTTTTGACAAAACAAACTTGTTACAAAAAAATTAGATCTATGAAAAACAAAAAGAGAAGACAAAGCAAACGAGAAAAAGAGAGAGAAGGATAAGAGAACACGCCAATTGAGTCATTTGTATTAGTTATCGAGTTTGACAAAAAAAATTCCTGCACCCCTTGGGTTTCATTTAACCCATGTACATGACTTAAAGTTTACTTTTTAAATCGGGTTAAAATAAAATTCAAATGAGATTTTCAATGTATTTTTTACTTAACAAATGTGGGATATATGTGTCCCACATATTTTTTTATCCTATTCTACTAGAGTTATCCCACTTTATATATCTTTGGATTAGTAGTGGGTGCAATGAACGTGGGATTGAAATAGCACATAGAACATGAGTGCAAGGTGTTTCAGAATATTTTGAAGTATTTTTGAGATATTTTGGATATGTCGATCAATATTTTGGTATATTTTAACTAATATTTCGAAAACAAACTTTTAATTTTTTTCTTCATTCTCATTTTATTTTTGAAATGTTCCCAATATATTTCTATAATGCTTCTATTTTTATGTAATTAAAATAATACACTGAAACGAAATTTTAATTCTTAGCCATATATTTTTCTTAACAAATCATTTCTCACAAATTTGAGTTTGATCATTATAAATAAATGAGTCATTTATAAATAGAGTTTGGATCCTCTACTATACAACAACGGTGTTGTTTTTCGAAATGATGTTCTTTCACATTAAAGCAATGTTATTCTATTTAATAAAATAATATCATTTTAAAGAAAAATACCCCAATTGTTAAAAAACTAATAGTAAAAAAATTCGAATCCTTTATAAATGATAAATGATTTACTAAAAAAATCATATTGAAGGGATTTAGATGCTATTAGACTTATTGATATTATTAAATTTATGGTCTTATTGTTGCACATTTTAGATCTCAAGAACTCCCAATTAAAAAAAAAAAAATTTAATTTAAATAATTGACTTTTAGTTAAAAAATTAAACTCCCACCGCCTAACTCGAGTGGAATGAAGATCTATGGTGAAGTATTTTTATAAATCCTTCGTGGCTGCAACGAAACCTCATATAGGCTCTCTCTCTCCTCTCCTCTCCAATCAACCATGGCTGAGCAACCGTCCACAGCAGAGACATCCGTCGATTCCGTGCCGCCCGTTGAACTTTATCCAAACCCAGATGGCTCATTCACTCGAATCGAACCATTTCCAAAGCTTCCTGCAACGCCGGAAAACACCACCGGTGACGATTCAAAGTCAACCCAAATCGCTCTCTCCAAAGACATCCCTCTGAACCCAACAACCAACACCTCCATTCGCATCTTCAAACCTTGCAATCTTCCTCCAAACTCGAAGCTCCCCATCATTATCTACTTCCATGGAGGTGGGTTCATAATCTTCAGTGTCAGTACTAAACCCTTTCACGAATCATGCAACGCCATGGCAGCTCAGTTCCCAGCTCTGATCGTCTCCGTCGAGTACCGTCTTGCGCCGGAACACCATCTTCCGGCGGCGTACGATGACGCCGTCGAAGCTATCACGTGGGTCCGAGACCAGGCATTGGGAATCAACGGTTGCGATCCGTGGCTGAAAGATTTGGCCGATTTTTCTAGGGTTTTCTTGATGGGTAGTAGCGCAGGATCTAATATAGTCTACTACGCAGCTCTGCGTGTGCTCGATATTGATCTTACGCCGGTGAAAATCAAAGGGTTGATTATGAACCAACCGTTCTTTGGTGGGGTGAAGAGGACTGAATCGGAGACAAGACTTTCCGATGATAAGATCATACCTCTCTCTCTGAATGATCTGATGTGGTCCTTATCGTTGCCGGAGAATTCTGATCGTGATCATGAGTATTGTAACCCATCAATCGCCGGCGAGTC